AAAAAAAAACTAATATAATAATATTAATAACATAACCCTTTGATAGAAAAAACGTTGTTGTTTTTACGCATCGATGCTGCTGCGACAACGTACGGCACGAAGCCAAGAACTAATCACGGCGGCCGTGTTATATTATATTCGCGTAGACGGAGCGGCGGCACGATAACATTTAATTTACATATTATATAACTCACAAGACATTTAAATAGGTACATACAAAAATAAATATTACTACAACAGGTGATAGTGTGTGTGTGTGTGTGTGAGTCCAGCTGTCCTCGCTGCCCGATAATGATATTTAATTCAAAACAATACGATGCATCCACAGTACTATGTTGCGGCGGCAACAGTTAGTATAGTTATTACAATTATCGAAAATATAAACATGAATTTACCGTATAAATAAAACGCACGATAGTGCATTATAGTACGATTTTAAATTTATATTTTATATAATATTTTTTTTATACATAATTTAAATTTAAAGTTATACTATTACTTAATAAGTAAATTATTAAAATAGGTACTTAAGTTTTATATTTTAGATTGATTAAATATTTGATAACAATATAAATGTATAAAATTATGAAAATATTTTTTAAAATGCAAAAATTTTAATAAGAATTTTACACTAAAAAAAAATCAAATAATAATAACAAACAATTGTAGAAGTTTAACAATATGCATCTTGCCACGGTACTTTTCCGTTTGTCTTAAAGTACTCAGCAAATGTATCTCGAATCATTTTAGCTTCGTCTCCTGATTTTCTTGGTATTTTACGAATTGGCACCATAGACGTTATATCATTTTGTTCATTACGCCACGAACCCAGAATCAATTGATCTTCATTTTCAATGTCCAACGTGTCTTTAGGTAAATATTTTGAAGACGATGATCTACTTTTTCGTAAAAAATTATGTAATAAAACACATGTCATTACTATATTTGAAGCTTTTTGTGGTTCAAGTAACATGGGTTTTCTAAGTATCCGAAATACAGATGCCATAATCCCGAACACGTTTTCCACTACCCTGCGAGCGCGTGAGAGTCGATAGTTAAATATTCGTTGTGTACTTCCTTTATTAAAAACGCCTGCGTAAGGTTTCATAATATGGGAACTTAACCCGAAGGCATCATCTGCGACAAACACGTAAGGTATAAATGTTTCCTTTTCAGGCAGTGGTTTATTAGGTGGAAGATTTAATTGATTTTCGTTCAATTTTTTAAAGAACGTTGAATTACGAAAAACACCGCCATCGCTTATACGTCCTTGGCAACCCACATCAGCATATGTAAAACAATAATCAGCATCCACTAAAGCCATTAGTACAACACTAAAAGTGCCTTTGTAATTTATGTACTCTGAACCACTATTCATAGGAGATTGTAAAACGATATGTTTGCCGTCTATGGCCCCAATACAATTTGGAAAATTCCACTTCTCATTGTATTCTTCAGCAATTTTTTGCCAGTCTTTTGGCGTTGAAGGTACCTGGAAATAATTTTTAAATTTAATTATAGAATTTTAATTTTTCATAATAATAATGTATTAAATAAAAGTGTAATTGTTTTGAGATTAATACTCTTAAAATAATATTAAAAACGGTGGACAAGTGGTAGAAGTTGGTTAAATTTAAATTGAATTGTATATCATAGATAATTATACACGAAACATTATTATTAAAATTAGTATTAAAGATTTAGAGAATCTAGGATCTCAAAAAAAGTACGCGATATTTATTAGGGAGTTTAAAATATGAAAATGTAATGTTAACTTATGTTATTTTTGGTTTGATTAGGAATTTATTGATGAACATGATATATTAAATGTAGCCGAAGAAAACATAGAAGATGATGTTATTTTAACAGAATCAACCTTACCGTCTCCAGATTCAGCAGTTTTTAAATCCCCAGCGACCAAAGGAATGAAAAGAAAGAACGTAATTGAAGACTGCATGATGGATGCATACAAAATTATGAAAAATGTCGTTGAAAAACCACAAAAAGATGATTGTTCTTTACATGCAGAACTACTGGCTCGAAAACTTAGAACATTTGATGAGTCTACTCGGGAAATACTCATGCACGAGATCGACGAATTAATTTTCCGTGCAAAATGTGAAACACGAAACCGTACTGTACAATCGCATTTACCTACAATGCAGCTTGGACATCAGTATCCACCATCCTATAATAATTATGCCATACCTCCATATTATAATCATAACACTTCTTTGTCTCCATTGCATTCAAATATGATACATTCTATTAATAATATGTCTCCTACAGTTTCTTCTTTTTCTCCTCATTCATCAGAGAATTCTCGCATAAGTCAACCATCTCCAAATCCAAATCCATCTCAAGCTCCAGAAACTTATTTTACCAATACTGAACAAAATGAAAGCGTGGAAGATAGTTTGTTTATATAAAATAACTAATAAGTAGGTATCATAAGTTTTATTATTTAAAAAAAAGGATATAAAATATTATTTTTATTATTTTTAATACTATTAAAGGAGAAAATGTTTATTATTTTTTTTTTTTAATTTTTATATTTTATTAAATAGAAGTGAAGTTAATAAAAAATATTTTACATTTATTTGATATTTTAGCTCATGAATACATATAATATAATCATGTCAAATATTTTATATTATTTTATATAAAATATTACTTTTGTTATAAACAATATTATGAAGTCAGACAAGTCAGTATTATTTAAAAATATAAAAAGGAGATAATGTATATTATTTTTTTTGAACTTTTTATAATATTTTATTAAATAGGAATAAAGTTGATTACAAATATATTTTACCTTTATTTGATCTTTTAGCTCATGAATCAAAGCGTAACACACCTCATGTACAATATTTGATATAATTTGATTGGAAAATTTGAACAAGTAAGACAAACTAGTAAAACTATCTCCAGTTGCCAAAAATCTAAGAGTAACTGCTAATCTATCTTGAATAGGTATAGCTTTCCTCATGTTTGTGTCTTGTTTTTTAATAATTGGACCAACTTTATTTAGTAGATGTTCAAAGTTCATTGCCGGATATCATCCAGTACGGACGTCGTTTAGTGCGGTCCTACTCTATATGTAATCTCGGTATAAAGGTTATTATAATGTCTACGGAGTGTGCAAAGTGCAGTGAGATTTTTACTCACAGTGAAGACTTGTTAGAATGTTGTAATTGCAAAAACAATTTACATTTTTATTGTGCTGGTGTCACTGAAAGTAGTTTTAAAAAGATGTCACAAAACACTAAAACTAGATTTTCCTGTCAGACTTGTCGAGTCCCAAGCCAAAAATCTGACAAAGTAATTTCAAAAAAACCGGAGGAAAGGATGGAAGAGCTTATTAAGTCAGTTTCTTTTATGAGTTCACAATTTGATGAATTCAACAAAAAACTGGACGCGGCTTTACTGGAAATGAATCACCTACGAACAGAAAATAATAAATTAAAAATTGAAAATACTAGATTAGCAAACGATATACTAGATATAAAACAAAAACTTGATACATTTGAACAAGCGAACATGGGTATCGGTATTGAAATAACGGGCATACCAAAAATGGAAAATGAAAACTGTATTAATACAGTTAAAAAAATTGCTGAAAAATTAAATATTTCTATAACTGTAACAGAAGCTTCAAGATTAAACTCAACTAATAACAAACCGTCAATAATAATTGCAAAACTAGAAACTTCGGAAATGAGAAAAAACCTAATAAAAATAAATAAACTACAGAAACTAAATGCAAACATGCTATCAGAAAATTGGAATAAAGAAAATAAAATCTACATCAATGAACGTTTGACGAAAGAAAAACGTATACTTTACTCAAAAACAAGGGCTGCTGGTAAAGAACGCAACTACAAATTTATATGGATTTCAAATGCAGATATCTTAATAAGAAAGGATGAAAACTCTAAAATAACTCGAATAAGATCAATCAACGACATTGAACGCATGTAACTACTAACTTCAAAACCACGTAAGTCTAATACCTCTTCCAACTTTCCATTCTTACCTATGTTATATTATATACAAACATTTCCTCAATACAATCGTATAGTATTCAAACATAAATCGCTAAATTATATTTTAATCTTACTAACGATGATATCATATTATAACATCCAATATTACTATTCTTTATTAGTTTTGTTAAATATTGCCAATTATTTATATATTTGTTATGTACCTATTAATTTTAAATACTTTAATCTCATAAATTCTGTCATTGTTAAAAACAAACTGAATCATTGTTATGTCACAGTTATTATTCTATACATTTCTAATAGTAGCTATAAGTTTTTATCTAAAAATGCTGTGCTTAATTCGTTAATGAGAATCCTAATCTGTTGCAATATGATTTTAATAATATTATTATGGCCTCTTATATTAATTCATAATTATACACCTCTCCATATACCTTTATTAAAATGTCTACTTTAATGTTTTGTGAAAATTTAATATTACCAGATATAAATGAAATAAAAACAAACATATGCAATATCGATAAGTTAAACTCAATCATTAGCAATAATAACGTGTGTAATATGATTGCAATTAACATTTGTAGCATTCAAAAGCATTTTGATGAATTGTGTATAATATTAGATAACACATCTATACAATTTGACATAATAATTCTGGTTGAAGCTTGGTTAGGTAGGGATAATATAATCAGTGAAAATTATCAATTACCAAACTATTCCGTATGCTACACTAGATTTAATAAAAACCAAAATGACGGTATTATGGTTTTTATAAAAAACCAATTAACTATGATCTCTACTTTAGAATTACAAACAAAATCGCAAACTGTACTGGAAATCCAAGTTAAAAAATGGTGTACTAGTTTTTTAATTTACACAATATACAGATCTCCTAATAATGACGTAGAATTATTCTTAAATGAATTACAATACACCGTTCTAGAAAAAGCCAAACAAATAAATGCTGACTTTAAGATATTGATAGGTGATATAAACTTAGATATATTACGTACTTCAACAATCTCAAATAAATACCTTGATCTCTTGGCTGAATTTGGATACTATAAATTGATTAATACTATCACTAGACAAGCTTCAAACTCATGCCTCGACCATATATTTATGAAAAGTAACACAATTAAATATGTAAAACCAATAGTCAGTCAAATAACTATAACTGATCACTATCCAATACTTCTTAGTATTGGAAATCTTATAAGCAATAGAAAAAATACACCACACCCACTCACAATCACT